AGAATAATACAGAATAGAATAGAATTAAAATTAGAATAGAATAGAATTAAAATTAGAATAGAATAGAATAATACAGAATGGAATAGAATTAAAATTAGAATAGAATAGAACAGAAGTCTTTACTGGCCATGTGTGATTGTACACAGAAGGAATTTGTCTTTGGTGCAAATGTTCTCAGTGTACGTAAAGGAAAAAATAAAGTACATTCATAAAGAATCCTAAGATACAGCACTTAGTGATAATCATAGGTTACTAATAAGCAATCAAATCATACTAGGGAACAAACAAAACACTACAAATTGTAAAAGATACAAGCAAACGGGGTTGTAGTTATAAATGGGAAGCGAGAGGCAATAGGAAGGATGAGAAGAAGAAGAGTATAATACAGTCTTCCTAAATAGTTTGACAGTGTTGTGGGAATGAGTTGTTTAGCAGAGCGATCACATAATAATAATAATAATCATAATAATCACAGATTGGCCGTGATTAATAATCACAAATGCTGACGGAGGCACGGAGGCTTCGTGGAAGAGGAAGAGGGGCGAAGGAAGTCCAGTAGGATTAAAGAGTTTCCTGAACAGTTTTGAAGTATCTGCAACGTGCAACTGGCATGGATTTGGGTTGGGCCGGTCTAGAGAAAGGAAGGACTAGGGGCCGGGACATGAGAGCAGCGTTCCAATATCTGAGGGGCCGCCCCAAAGAAGAGGGAGTCAAACTACTCTCCAAAGCCCCTGAGGGTAGGACAAGAAGCAACGGATGGAAACTAATCCAGGAGAGAAGCAACTTAGAACTAAGGAGAAACTTTCTAACAGGGAGGACAATTAACCAGTGGAACAACTTGCCACCAGAAATCACGGATGCTCCGTCACTGGAGGTTTTTAAGAAGGGACTGGACAGTCACTTGTCTGGAATGGTACTGGGTCTCCTGCTTGAGAAAAGAGCTGGACTAGATGACCTCCAAGGTCCCTTCCAGCTCTATTCTGATCATAATAACTGTTCTATCGCCAGAACAAAGCAGACTCAAGACCGGAGTTGAATTCAGCTCTTTATTTAACTGT